ACCACAAAAGGTCGATCTTTGGTTCATCAGATCAGAAAAGAAAAGGTGAAAAAAAGGAAACTCGATGAACCTGCTAGTTCACTGACAGTCTGAAACGCACGAAACGAAGCCGGAAGAAAACGAGGTCCTTTCTGTACACAACACAATGCGTGCAACGGAGCTTTTGACCAATCGTGTCAGCTCGCATGTCAGCATGTGCATCCACTAGCTAGCACACAAGTGTCACCGTTGTCACAGGCTCACAGCTTGCACCGGAGCCCAAAGCTGCTCAGCAGCTTTCTTAGGCATCTCTTGGCCCGCGACTCGCGGCGCATGGGCCCGCCGTTCCCGCGCGTCTCTGCCACGCCGCCGCCGCCGGAGAAGATCGCCCGGAGGCGACCGAAGTGCGTGCTTCTCCCCTCATACGCCACCGCATCCGGGTTCTCCTGAAACCGCCGTGGAAATCAAGTAGGTCATTAGGAGAAGATCATCCGGGTGATACGTGCGTACGATCGATCAACTCAGCGGCAGGCATGCAGCAATCCGCACGAACCAGCACGTAGCGCTTCCACTCGGCCTCCTTGGCAACGACGACCCGGCGGCGCGCGTCGTAGGTGAACCGGGGGTGGTCCTTGATCCGGCTGACGGCGTCGAACTCGCGCCGGAGCTCGGCCAGCCGCCGCTGCAGGTCCTCGACGGGGAACGCGGACCCGGCGGCCGCGTTGAGCTCGGCGCGGATGGCCGACCAGTCGTCCGCGGTGAGGTCGCCCACGCCGCCGCCGCCGCGCATTCGCCGCAGCAGCAGAAGGTCCAGGAGCTTGGCGTCGTGCTGGGCCGTCCACACGTCCACGTGCAGCCGCGACAGGATCTTGCGGAGAGACCGCCGCGACACCGGCGGCCTCGTGGTCTTGACGACGGCCTCCTCCTCCTCGCCGCCGCCGCCGCCGTGGTCGTCGCCGTCTTCGAAGCGCATCACCAGCTGCTGGTCAATCATCAGTAGCTGGCTCACGGTCGTGACTGGCTGCTCTGGCTGCGTTTGCACGTTACGCATCTCCTGCCTTCCATGGCGATGGAATGGTCAGTTGGTCACGCAAGCGTGAAGCGTGTGTGTACCGAAACTAGCAGCGAGCACGTACTGTGATTGCGAGGCGTCGTCGGCGCGGAGGCGGAGGCTGAGGAAGACGACGGAGCCGTGGCGCACGCCGTAGTGCGCGACGGGGAGGCCATCATCGTCGAGGTGTCGGCCGGCGAAGAAGAGCCTCTGGGCGCCTACGGCGACGCCCTCGCGGGCCATGACCATGGCCTTGAGCTGCGCCACGGTGGCAGCGCCGTCGACGTCCAGCGCCACCCGGTCCCCGCGGAGCGTCCGCACCATGATCCTCATCGTCGTCGTCGTCGCCACAGGAGGAGCCGGCCCGCCGCTCGACGATTCGCGACGGCTACTGGCTGTAGCTCTGTCGTCGGCGCCGCACGGCGTCGGCGTGGCAGGTGTCATTCTCATGTCATGTCTTGCGGTTGCGGACGACCGGCCGGGGAGGGAATCGAGGGGCCGGCCGGGAGGAAGGAAGGAAGGAGAGGATCGGGGAGAAAATAATGGGGACAGATCGGAGGTTGGATCGTGGATGGGATGCGCATCCACGAGCACGAAGGGTGTTTGGCTGGCACAGCGGGCACAGGCAGGCATGCATGATGGTTGCGCGGGAATAAAGCTAGCGGTTGGATGCGGCCCCGACGTGAAGAAACGAATTTTCTTCCGCCATCCGCGGTCCGCAGCAGCGCCGACTCGACTCGGTATATCTGAACTTTGCAGGCGTGCGGCCACAAGGAGGGAAGGCTGGTGCACAAGAGTCCTTTTGTCGTTGAATTGGATGGTCCCGTTCCGTTTCCGTCCCAAGACCTGACTCAACGTTGTGCAGGCTGGTTGCTGCCTTTGTGGCACGGCAATGCTAGCACCCGAAAGTCCGGACAGACGTGTACCGAACGCTTGAACAGACGTCCACGTTAGGACGCCCGCGGCTACAGTCCGTTTCTGCGCCTAACGCCAGCGTCTACTGCTCCTAGAAAACTGCACCCTCACTTTACGCCTCTTTCCGGACGCCTGTGCCCTCACTTCGCGTCTCTGTCCGGACTCCTACGCCCCCGCCGCTAGCTGCACCCGCATGCTGCGCGGGGATCAGTTGCGCCTACCGCCATCGCCCTCCGCTTCCCATCCCTGCTGCCGAGCAGCGCTCCATCCCTCCGCTCCCCCACGTGCATGCATGATGCCCAAGCAACTGCAACAGGCAGTTGTGGCAGGATCGGTCACATTGCAACACGTGCAATATTTTGATCTACTTTTGAAACATACAAATGAAACTTGCAACATACATATGAAACATCTGAAACACTTGCAGTATGCGTCTGAAACACTTGAAAACTCTTAAAAACCATTGCAAACATATGCAACATTCATATAAAACACTTGCAACACATGTGTGAAACATATGCAACATTCAAATGAAACACTTGCAACGAACGTCTGAAAAAACAGTTGAAACATTTGGAACATACCCTTGAAACATACGTATATAGCCATTGCAACATGTGCAACATCGCGATCTACTTTTGCAACATCAAGATTAAACACTTGCAACATCCAAATGAAACATTTGAAACACTTGAAACATAAGCTTGCAATATGCGGTGCGCAAAAAAAATGTCATCTTGTTGCTTGGACGAGGTACTCGAGCAGCACGGGTACGCCGACGAAGGAGAGCGCCACGGCGGCCAAGAGCTTCCAAACGTCAAGGTCGAGGTCCCAGCCAGGGAGGTTTGCGTTGATGAGTGCCTAGAGGAGGTCGTCGTTGTCGCCCCCGCGCCGCCGAAGACGTTCGACTCGTTGACCATGCCAGCGTCAACGAGGTTCTAGAGGAGTGGGTGTGACGTGGTGGCAGATGCGGCGCGGAGCGGGATGGGGGGCGTCACGGCGCTTGCAGCGGCGAGGCGGAGTGGGACGGGCGCCCGATGCGGTGAAGCCTTGAATTTCTATCGGTGAGGGTTCTGTCGCGACTCGCGAGGTAGAGATGGAGAGAGCGTAGAGAAAAACATGGCTTGTTGGCCCGATCGCTGCGTAAGTCCGAGAATGAGGACGTCCAGACACACGCGCTAAGACGAACACCCTAATCATAGCATTACATAGTGTGGCACGTTCCAAGACGTCCCTTCGATTTAGGACGCTTAATCACGTGCACGGTCAGACGTTGCCTTGGAAGTCGTCATCCAAATAGCCCCTCGTGGCCGACTGACTGACTGAAGACCCATTTGAAACGCATGAAGTTTTACCGAAATAAATTATTTTTAAAAAGTCAGTTTTAATTTTATATATAGGAAAAAACATAGAAACATGTAAAAATTTTGCAAAACAGGATCTACCTGCCTCCTGACTTCCTGAGCAAACAGGGCCATGAAACGGGCCCAAGCTGCTGCAGTCGGTGGTCGGTGCTGCAAGATCTGGGCCGGCCCATGTAAATCTCCATGGGATCTTATCCTCCCGCTCCACTATCCCCTCCCGGCTTCCCCAGCGTATCGCCGCCCTAAGCGTCTTCGTCGAGCCCGCCGCCGGCGACGAACAGCCAACAGGTACGGCCCCCTTCCTGCCCCCCTCCTGTTCCCTTCCTGCCGTGCGAAACACAAAAACCCTAACCTAAGCGCTCTTGTGTCCGGACCCTGCGCGCGCAGCGGCGCAGGGAAGGGGAAGGGGAGGAGGAGGATGGGCGAGTTCGACGACTACTGGGCTCGGGCGTACAGGGGCGACCCCGCGGTCCCGCACTCTGACCCGCAGCGGCTCATCTCCACCTGGACTGGCGCCTTTGCCCTCGGCGCGGCCGCCTGCGTCCACCACCACGCCTCCGCGCTCGCCTCCCACCTCAAGTCCTTACCGGCGACGTGAGTCCCCGACCCCCGTATCGTCTCTCGGTGTCTCTGTTGCTCTGATGCTCTTGCTTAGGTTTTGTACCAATTCCCGCTTCTCGCTTGCGAGTCAGACCATGTTTGTACCAGGCATTGCAATTCGTTGATAGATTGATATGCTTGGGCCTATTCTTCATGTGTGTGCGATTTTATGTGTGTTTGTACCAATTCGTCGATAGATAGCAGGGATTACTGCAGATTGAGTGCTGTGTAGCGTGTAGCCTCTTAAAAAGATGATCTCAAACTTTAGTTTTTAGCTTGCGTCTTTATTAATGCACCTGAAGCCAAAAAAAAAACATAGTTCAATTGGAACGGAAGGGAGTAGTATTTTCTCTTGTGCCACTCACCATGTTGATTTAAAAATCACAAGGTCAGTCATCAAAACCACCCAAAATTGCTCTTACTATAGCTTAACATGATCAGTGTCGGCTCGAATTGATGAAGAGTGGGACTTCAACACTTTCTATATTTAGCACTACTTGAACCATATAAGATATCCAAATACTTATATCATAAGGTTCGTGATACTGTTCACTCATCTATATAAATGCTTTCTACAGTGCAGAGACGTTTAGAGAGCTTGCATACTGACACCCCAATATGTCGAACACCTACTATACTCCTCCTAATTGACTTTTATTGTTTAAAATGAAATTCAGAGTATTAGTAGATTAACCAATATGGGATTGCCATATGAATTGTTGTCTTTAAAAATCGGAAAATTACAAGAAAAAAGGTTCTCATAATTTCTGTAAATTATTTTCACTAGTAACCTATTTATAAAACTTGCATGGTTTTTGTAGCCTATCTATAGGTTTTACAGAACCTTATGCCATCAAGTTGCCATGTGTATAAATGTTTGGATGGTCTCTTCTGGATTTCAATCTAATTCTTGTTATGGTACCTCTCTCTCTTTGTTTTTTTTTTTGAAAGTGAACGGGGGGGAGAGCTTCCCCACCTGATTTTATTAGAAACAAGAGCTCCGATCAAAGCGCGGAGTTTGTCGAAGAGATACAAGATGACAGGAACAAGTGCCAGTGACTAAGTTTAGATACATCACGATCGACTTTGAGTCATTTTTGCCAAATAACTGGATCATCACAAACTCTAGTAATAATACGGCGGCTTGATGAAGGCTCGCTTCCGAAGACCTCAGCATTCCTAGCATCCCATATCCGCGAAAGGATAGTAAGACTAAGAAACACAAATGGACAGAGTTTTGCATCCAAGTGGGGGAGAGGACATCCAGTCCATACATTTGCATCTGCCAGTTCAGCAACACTGCTCATCTGGAGCATTTGCCATAGCTCGGCACTGGAAGTGCAATCAAAGAAAACATGCTGGCGATCTTCAACACAACCAGAGCACCGTTGGCAAGCATCGTCATCCAACACATGTTTTGCGAAGAGATTGCCCCTCGTGCTTAATCTGTCCTTGAAGTAGAGCCAGGCAAAAATCTTGACTTTGTTTGGAAGTCGTGTACCCCAGATATGACGCCCATGCACGTCTGGTGTATCTGAACGGCGATCAGGTGTTGCGTAAGCATCTCTGGCGGTGAACACTTTGCCAGTATGTTTCAGACGCCGCTCATCAGCTCCGTCGCCGAGATTGGTTTCCTGCAAGCATAAAAGGAGGTCTGCTAGCTGGGTTGCAGCAGCATTTGTCAGTCTGGACCGGAGGCGCAAATCAAACCTAGCTTGGAAAACATCCTGAACCGATACGTTAGGCCTAGTAGTGTGAGAGAAAAGAGCAGAGTGGGAAACATAAAGAGGGCCGGCAGGGAGCCAATGATCAAACCAAAAAGAGGTAGAAGCACCATCACGAACTTTCACATAAGTAATTGAACGATAGGTAGTAAGTTCATCATTAACGATCCGCCAAAGATATGAAGTCGAACTGTTAGAGGGGGTGTCAAAAGATGCAGCATCTCGGAGAATCCATTGCTTCCACGGGGCAGGTTCATTGGAGAAAAGCTTATTAATGAATTTCATGAGTATGCATCTATTTTGAAGCTCCAAATTTTTAACTCCAAGGCCCCCATCATTCTTACTGATAGAAACATTTTCCCAGGCCACTAAACACCTAGAACCATGGCAGACCTCATCCCCTGTCCAAAAGAAAGCACGTCGACGTCGATCTATAGCTTTGATAGCTGTTTTGGGGATATTCAGACTTTCAGAGCTGACATGTAGTGGAGGGTGGGTGGTGTGTGTGTGGGGGGGGCGAGGGGTGCTGAGGATAGCAGTAACCAAGGTGAGGCGGTACCTCTCAAATTTTAGGCTTGTGATCTGAGTCTTAGGTGTTGGGACTTGAACACTATTTTCATCTTGCATTATAAAGCATCTTGTAATCCGAATTTGCTAAAGCCCTGTTTGGATCCCATGAATTCAAACCAATATCTAGAAAGTGCTTCTCCATTTCATTATTAGATTATTTTCCAATTCCTAGGAACCAAACAGGGCCTAAGATCTCATGGATCATTATTTCATTCTTATAAGGAATTAATAGTTTTCCATTCTTCGCCGTGTCTTTTCAACTGTTTTAATCCTTAGCATCTGAGATGCATAAGAAATGTTTTTCCTCCATTGTGAACGAACAGTATATTTGCTTATAAAATCTCTCTTTGTGTTATGTCTTTATGTAGATGTACAAAGTCCCTTTTATTAACATTCTGTTGTTTTCCTTGCCCAATACATGTTGATTGACATATAATACCATTTATCTCAGTTGGCAAGACATGACATTGGTCCTTGATCAAAAGCGATGGAAGAAAGCTCTTGAGAAGAAGCAACAACAAGCTTAAGGTGAGCCAATCTCACCTGCTACACTTGCATTGCAGTTAATGATTGGATCAACGGAATTCACTTTTTATCAGATGATGACAGTTGACATCAATCGTTTCATGTTCTAACTTGCTTATGTTTCTTCTTGTTTGCTACAGCTCATTATTCTTTCCAACTCGGACCAGTTTGATGAGCATGTGTCTGGTCATCAATTGTGGCGCATGAAATTTCAGAGTTCTCTCTCTATATATAATATATTGACTGAGGTTCTACTTGATTGTGTTAAATTGTCCCTATTTTTGTGTTTGCTCCATCTCAGATGACATTCAGAATGATTTGTCCATTCTTAAAATCTCCATGATCTTTTTAACATGCTACTACATCCGTTCCAAATTATAAGTCATTCTGGCTTTTTTAGGTACATAGCTTTTGTTATGCATCTAGATGTCTAGATACATAGCTTTTAATATGTATCTAGAAAAGCTAAAACACATTATAATTTGGAACAAAGGGAGTACATGATATCTTGCATATGCAGCATTTGTGTGATTGTGTACTCCAAATAAACTCAAACCTCTAGTATAGTATCTAGTAAAACAATCTCGAGTCTTGAATATGTATTTTCATAGTATACCTATTTAGTATTATTTTTTTATAAACTTGGTTAAACTTCAGATACATTGACTAGGAACAGAGCTAGAATTACATTTTTTTTCTGTCAGAAGTAATTTTGCAATTTTTCTGATGGAAGTAATTTTTTTTTCTGACAGAAGTAATTTTCCTGACGGAGCATAAGTTATAAATATTTTTTTTAGCCTTTCTTTAGCGGAAAGGAAGAAACACACATACGACTGCATGTATGCCATTACATCGGGCTGTGCCCTATTGCTATCGGAAAGACAGCTTAAACTCGACTCAAGTCGACCGGTGCTCTTGCCTTGTGCAGACAAAACAGCTTGCCCCCAAGCCCCAAAGCGGTACAACGAGTATATTTTGAAACAAGCAATTTTTTTTAAAAAAAATTTGAACCAAAGTTACAACGAGCATAAGAGAGCTACAGTAGATAATTTATTTGCTTATCTATCAGCAATGACTGAATAATGCGTATCCACTTCCAAAAGGTGGAGCAGCGCTAGTTGACGACGTAGCAGTGCCTCACCCTGGGCACAAAATGGTAAACTGAATTTACTGAACTATGTTGAGTTTGAGTATTGTTATATTATTGATAGCACTATTTTAGTCTATTATATTATGTATTTGTGGTACTCTATTTTTATAGTCTTGTGGACTTTTATATGTATGTATTTGGTATTATTATTCTCTATGAAATCATGTCCAAATTATGTCAAAATTAGCTTTCGAACCTACTATTACATGTCTACGTGGTCAGTTCGGTATTTTTTGGTAAATACCGAAACCGAACCGAAAATACCGAAACCGAATTTCCTCCGAATTTTGGAAGGAACCGATCGGTACCTATTTTTTGAGGAACCAAATTTCTCTAGGAACCGGAAGTACCGAACCGATCGGTTTGGTAATACCGAATGCCCAGGCCCCTGGTTGCCAGAAAACATGATTTGGGGGGGGTGGGGGGCTTTATTAAAAAACGAGTGTAGGGGCACAAACAAGACGAGCTACAATCTGAGAGTAAATTATTAGAACAAGCGTTGCATAAGCCGCCAACTCGAGGGGCAACTTATTATGCCAACTATAAGAGCCGGGAAATATGACTAGCTGACAATTGGAGGGACATTTATTAAAAAGACAAGAGTCGCGACTCAAAATAAAACAAGCTACGAGAGACAAATTATTAAAAGAAGCATTGCATAAGCTACCAATTTAGGGGTAAGTTATTATACAACTGATATGTAGGTTTTAAGAAGGCATTCGAACTTGAAGGGGAAAATGGAAAAAGAAACTCATAACTCATTAAACTAAAACTCAAATAAACATTGAAACAAAAAAAATGAAATATTTAAAAGCAGAAGCTGAACCACTGAAATAGCTACCGGAAACTAAAATTGACAACCACGAAATTAAATTACAATTGACAAATAAGTAGACATAATGAAACATAAAACTAAAACAAGACAAGCATATGAGAGCTACAGCAGAGAATTTATTTCCTTACAGTATCTAATAACATAGATAATCAAATATAATGCATATCCAGTTCCAAAAGGTGCTGCACCCGTTAGTTGACGACGTGGCAGTTCCGTCTGATCTCCCCTTGGTTCCCGGCGATGACGCCGAAGGCTCCCAACTTCTGGATGGACGCGGCGAAGGCTGTGAGGAACTTGCCTTGGTCGTGCATCTCGTCGACGAGGCGGGCGGCCTCGTCGTCGTGCAGCAGCACGGCGTCCGTGAGCAGCGCGCCGCGGTTGGCCTTGACGGTGGCGTAGTAGCTGGTGTCGAACGTGAACTCGCTGCCGGGGTCCAAGGCCACCTTGCCGAGCGGCGACGACGACGGCGTGGCGGGGCACTGCTGCATCAGCTCCCGCGCGTAGCCAGGGTCGATGAACGGGTCCACCCCGCCGTTGCCTTGGAAGGTGTAGAGTCTCGGGGACACGAACTGGCAGTCCGTCCGTCCCAGCGTGTGCGCGCCGGAGAGTGCGACGAGGTCGCGGACGCCGAGCCCCCGCTTCGCGAAGGAGTCCCTGAGGATCGGGAACACGAACTCCGGGCTGGGCAGGTCCGTGGCGTGCTCCTCGTCGGAGAAGCTGGTGTCGCGGCGGCCCGTCTCGACTTGCCACAGCGAGCGGCCGAACTGGAAGGAGACGGCGTCGCGGGCGGCCAGCGCCACGACGTCCGCGCAGGAGACGCTGCCGGGGCAGGCCGCCTCCAGCGCCGCCTTGGCGGCGTCGACGACGTCCAGCCCGCCCAGCGACTGGTTCGGCGGCGGCGCCTTCTCCGTGCCCCGGCCGTCCATCAGCACCGACTCGTCGCACCCTGCGGGAAGCAGTCGTGGAAGTAGAGCCGCAGCAGCTTGCCGGCCAGGCTCGGGTCTGCGGCTGCCCGCGCCCAGGTCACGTTCTGAACGATGGACTCCGCCTGGGGGCAGGTCTGCTGGTAGAAGCCCACCTGGAGGCCGGCAGCGGTAGTCGACGACGCGACGAGCAGCAGCGCGTGAACGAGGAGCATCAGACACAGCGACGGCTTGCTGCCGGCGGTGGTGCGGGTACCAGCAGCCACTGCTCTGTGCTGTGTCGACTGGACTGACGACGGTGACAAACAGGGAGCTGATGTTCTCCTGTCGCTAGACAAGATCTGATATCAGAGTACAACTCACAAGTGCATCTCTACTCACCGTCACCGACTGAAACTACAGTGCCTATTTATACTACTGGTATTTCACTCCGGTAAACTTGGTACATAGAATATGGACCTCATGTTTGCGTAATCTCAGCTTTGTTTAGACATGGCCCGGGTTTCTTTTTTTTTCGAAGCGAGGCCATACCCCATTTCCATTGATGACAACGGAAATACAAAGTTTGCAGAGAGATACAGACATAGACTAGAGTCAGAGGACGATACTGATAACTGGTTACCACTAACAAGAGCTTAAGACCACGCCTGATTCAGGCAGCAAGCTAAAGAGAGAGCTAGACTTAAAAGAGTACCAACCACAGCCAACTACGAAACTTGAACTGAGAACAACATAGTTTTGCGCCAGTAAAACAAGATCACAGATTAAGCATGTTGTCGAGTCACATCTTCAACCATCATTCAGGCTGCTCCCCCTGATCATCCTCCAGAAGTTGCGGCTTCCTCTTCACGGACTTCTTGTTCAATAGCTTCACTGCGATCTCCATCATCAAGTTGACTCCGCGCACCAGGGCTTCCTTGTCAACCTCCAAAAAAAGCCCTGCCCAGTAACACATGAGCGAGCATGCAAGACACACAATAGAGATTGGATTTGTGATTTTCCTGCCTTCAAAGCAGACATCATTTCTAATTCTCCAAATGGCCCAGCAGATAGCTGCAATGCCCAACGGATGAAACTTTTGCCCACTGGGCAACCATTTCTCACACCAATCCCAGCATTGTTGAATATTCCTAGGAACATTATTTGCACCAATAGCATAAGCTACAACTGCCCAAACCACTTTGGCAGTACTGCATTGGAACAGAAGATGAGAAATGTTTTCTTCTTCATCACAGAAGTGACAGGTTGGGCTGCCAGTCCATTTCCTTGAAATGTTTTCTTCTTCATCACAGAAGTGACAGGTTGGGTACCAGTCCATTTCCTTTTAATCAAATTGTCCTTAACAAGAATAGCATTGTTCAGCACTAACCAGAGAAAGATTTTAATCTTTGCTGGAATCTTACCCTTCCAGATTTTCTTATGGTAAAGACCAACATCAGAGGAGGTCAAAGCATTATAAACAGATTTAACAGTGAACACACCTTTATTACCAAATTTCCAAAGGATCACATCATCATTAGAACCTAGATTTATACTATATATGTCATTCAAAATACTGTTCCATTGGACTCTAAGCTCATCCACCAGCCATCTGGGGAAGGTGATCAAAGAAGAATTCATTTTA